ACTCAGGGATGTTACCTTTCTGGACATGGATGATGTCTGGGAAGTTGGCCAGATGCCCCTGATATAGTGCTAACAAATCCATCACAGGGTCAAGGTCCTGTCGGGGCTGCTCTGCAAAGAATTCCCCAATGGCGTCGTAAGCTTCCCCCGTGAAGGCAAGGGCTTGGTTGAGGTTGGCAGAAAAGGCCTGCTGGTCCAGCTCGAAGGCCTGGCTGAGGCCCTTGAAGGAGTGCCCCACCTTCTGGTACTCCTTCTTAAAACCAGTGACCTGCTTACGGGCAAACTCATTGGCGGTGTGGGTGAGCTGCATGGTACTCTCATCCATCTTCTTGGTGAAGCTCTTGAAGCCATCCACCCGGCTCTCCACTTCCTGTAGATCCAGGGCAGCGGCAGGGCCGGTGGGGACACTGATGGTCAGGAAAAAGTTGGCGCCCACCATCTCGTCCTTCTCGGCTTTGCGCTTGCCCTGCTTCCAGGCCTTCTCATCAGTGCTGGGGCAGGTGAGGAAGTGTCGGAAGGCATCGCACTGAGCCAGCACCGGGTGGCTGCACATGTGGTCCATCCACCAAGCCAGGCCCTTGCGACGCTTGGAGATAAAATCCTCCTCGAAGCGGCCCGTGGCCTGCTTCTCGGGCAAGTGGGGCACGGAGATGACAGGGAACTTCTCTGCCAAGCGCCCATAGAGCCAGTCAAAGTGCTTGTAGCGGCGGTGCACCTGCTGCCCGGTGTTGCTGGGTACCAGCTTGTAGGCAATGTAGCTCTTCATGCCCTTGAACTTGGTCTGCTTGGTGGGGTCCTCGATGGAGCACTGGAAGGGGTAGGGGTTCTCCTGCCACTCGGGCCCCCAGGGGCCCAGCACCACGCACAGCTTGTCCCCGTCCTTCACGAAGCCAGAGGCCTCGCCCAGCACGAACGCCTCCCCGCCCGACTTCACGAAGGTGGAGAAGCGGTTGAGGTTGCGGCTCACCGTGGCTGAGCTCTTGGCCCCGCCGCCGGGGTGGTGGTGGGGGTGACCGGGCTGCTGGCTGTTGCGGGAGCCCAGCGAGAGGTCCGAGCGGGTGGAGAGGCGGTACCGGGCCGAGGTGGGGCCGCCGCCCCCCGCCGCATCGTAGTCCGGGTAGGAGCTGCCCAGCACGCCCGGCTCGTCCGCCACCGTGGAGGTGTCGTCCCAGTCATCGTCCCAGTCGTCGTCGCTGCCCTGGCTGGGCTGGTAGGAACCGCTGTAGGGCGCGGGCGGGAAGGCGGGCGGCAGCGGGAAGGGCTCGGCCGCCGCCGGAGGGGGGAGCTGCTGGACGGGGGGGTTGAAGGCAGCCGGGGGTACCAGGGGCTCGAAGCCGCCGGGGGGCAGGTTGGCGTAGCGGGCCCCGCCGGCAGGGGCGGGCGGCTCCGCGGCCGGAGCCCGGATCACCTGCACGTAAGAGGCCGGGAAGAGGCCGCGGTCGCCGTGGCTGTTGACCCCCTCGAGCCAGCCCTCGATGTCCTGCTCGCTGCAGAGACTCAGCACCTCGTGCTCCCGCAGCGAGATCTCCCCCGGGTTCTCCGACCTGAAGTCATAGAGCGCCCGGGCCCGCAGCGCCATGGCCCCGCCGGGCAGGGGCCGGACCCAGCCCTGCCCTCCCGGGCAGCCCGGCCGCTTCCCCGTGCTGCCTGCGGCGGCGGCGGCGCCGCCTCCTCCTCCCGCCCGGGGCCGCCCGCTGCTGCTGCCCCGGCTCTCGCTGCTCCGCCCGGCGGTGGGGGCGGGCGGCTGGCTGCGGGGCGCCCGGGCTTGGCTCACAGCGGCGTCTGCCCCCCGCTCGGTGCCCAGCTGGAAGCCGCCCGCCCGCGAAGCCTTGCAGCGCGGCTCCCTGCGCTGTGCGCGGCGGCTCCGAGACCCCGCTTCACCCCAGCGGGGGGAGCAGGGGGGCCGGGCTGGGGACTGTCCCACGTAACCAGTTTCGCTAGCTAATCCAGAGCCGAGAGGCAGGGCCGAGGAGCCGAACGCAGAGCAGCCGCCCCCATCGATGGGCCGCTTCCCTTCGCCGCCTGCCCCCTGGTGTCCGGCCGGGCGGCGGCGCGGGGACCGCTGCGGGCGGAGGGGACAGGCGTCCTCGGCACTAGGATGGGGCGGGGATGCCGGGCCAGCCCCGGCTCTCCAAACCCGGCAGCGACAGGCGCATTTCCAGCCATTGACAGCGGGACAAGCGTTCGGGTCTTACGCGCTTGCGGCGCCTGCGTTTGCCTACTGATTCATTTGTTTCATCAATATACGAAATAACAAAATAGAGCTCCCATCCTACACGCCGGGCCTCTCTTTCTTCAGCTACGCTACACAAACGAATGTAATACCACAACCACCGCCTGCTGTCACATCTATACCCGCCAGACAGTAGAACCCCTATTTTATGAACAAATAATGCCGGATTGAGGAGTTCCTAGAAAGAAAAAGTTCGTGAAACTGACCTCAAAATTACTAAAGGAATGGGGCATGTATTGCGGTAGGGTGCACTTCATTGCTGTCTTGTCTTTCAAAGTGATGCAATGTGACGTTCAATGCATCAAAATGTGAAGGGATGTCCAGTTGTTCTTCATTACCATCACCTTATCTTATTTTTCTTTCACTGTGAAAAATGGTTTATGTGGTTGATGGTAAGACTGGTGTTCATAAAAAATCAAGATTCTGTTATCCTTGCAACCACCCCAATCTTCAGTCTCCTCCCTCCATAATAGCTTGCAAAAAAGAAAGAATAAAGGATTTGTTTTGCAGCACATCTGGAAGATTAA